GGGCGGGGTGGGGCGGGGGGAGGCTGGCTTCGGCGCGCCGCGTGAGCCGCTCTTGCTCCGGCGTTGACGCTGACTTCGCTCCCGGCAGAGACCAAGGTGTACGTGGGGAACCTGGGCACGGGCGCGGGCAAAGGTGAGCTGGAGAGAGCCTTCAGCTACTACGGGCCCCTGAGAACCGTGTGGATCGCCAGGAACCCGCCGGGGTTCGCCTTCGTGGAGTTCGAAGACCCGAGAGATGCTGAGGATGCTGTTCGTGGACTTGATGGGAAGTACGTGTGCGTTCCCGATGTTTGCAGGAGCTATAGCCGGCTTTAAGATGAGAGAGAATCTGGGAATCGTCTCCGGTTCTTCTCCTTTTTGTAGTTCCGCCATAAAAAGTAACAATTAACTTAGAGCTGTCATGGACTTGTTGCAGGGTAATATGTGGCTCCAGGGTTAGAGTGGAAGGGTCCCCCGGGGTGCTCCCGTTATGACAGGCCTCCTGCACGGCGCCCCTTTGACCCTAATGACCGCTGCTATGAGTGTGGTGAGAAAGGCCACTATGCTTATGATTGCCACCGCTATAGTCGTCGAAGGAGGAGCAGGTACATGTGGGGCCAGAGTGGCTGGGTTGCTTTGTCAGTTCACTTTTGTGTAGCTCTTGTTAGCAAAGAACAGAATGTTAAGCCGGTTTTCTTTAAACTTTTAACGCTAGAATAAATGTATAGGTGTATATTACGTTTTGTTGCTATTTCTATCAAATGTTAATATCTTAATAATCAACCTGGTCAAAACCTTTCAGGTTTCTTCGTTTGAGTCAGTCGCCTTGATTCAGAATGTCACGAGCCTTAAGATTTCATGCTGAGGCGCCTTGCAAATCCGACACTTAAGATCCTCCTAGACCTTGAGGTGATCAGCATAAGAGGCCAGATCCCCTCGAGCCATCTACACGTAGCTTCACCTTATTCTTTAAGGGCAGAAAATTTGAGACGGTGACCGCCGTAACAGTAAATTTGGCTTTCAATTGGGGCCCCCCTCCGGTTTAGAAAGAGGAACACCAGATTGACCACATTCCCACCTAGAAAAATCTTCTTGCGTCAATCAAGCCTCACCCTGGCTCATTGGGCTGTCAGTTTGATCGTCGTTAGATTGAAGAGAACACCTAGATGCAGCGATCGGCTATAGATACTTCTAGATCGTCTAGATCTGCTAGACCTTGGGCCAAAGAGGGTCGACCTGCAAACTTGCAAGGTTTATTTTAAATACGCATTACAGTGTTTTCTATTCTAATGTAATTCTGCAATGTAATTCAGCTTTTAACATTTTTCTAGGTAGTAAAATGCTCAAGACAAGTAGGCCCAGACATTTTTCCAACTGACAGATGCTAGATCTTTAGTTGTCTGAGATCAGTTTTGGCTTCAGCAGGCCTCACGTGTATTGATTGCTGCAGCTGTTTCCTGATACCTGTTTTCTCTAACCTAAAACCAGGTCCCGGTCTAGATCCCGTTCCAGGTCCCGAGGAAGAAGGTATTCTCGGTCACGCAGTCGGAGCCGTGGTAGGAGGTGTGCTTAAGTTTGTCTTTTATTCCTATTTGCTTATTTTGCTTAGAAAAAGCTACACCTGTACAACTCTTCAATTGATTTCTTTGCAGGTCCAGGTCAGCTTCCTATCGTAGGTCCCGGTCTGTTTCTCCTCGTAGGTCTAGGTCTTTGTCCCCCCGCCGGTCCCGATCGGGTTCCTTGAAGAGATCAAGGTAATTAGTAGCAATTTTTAGTAGATTGTGTGCTTTAGTTTGTTGTTGTTTTTCATTTTAGCTGAGGAAATGAAAAAGGTATTGGATAGCAGACTTCAAAAGGTGTCAACCTCTACAAATCAGACTTCAGCAGGCTTTAAGTTTCTGATAAACGGAGTTGAATTTACAGGCACAGTAATAGAATCAGTTTTGAGATCTTATACAACTGCGTATCCCATGATGAATTTTGATATCTAAAAGGTCTAATGATCATGCGAGGTTTAAGTTCAATGTGTAGTTATTAATCCAAGTAGTGCTGTAATTGTCATAATTTCTTGATCAGTTTACTACTTTGATTTCAGTTTGTCTTAATTTCTTGTTTCAGGTCTAGATCAAGATCCAGATCTAGATCCAGATCTGTTACATGGCCCCGAAGCAGGTAAGATGTCTTCTATGGCTGCAGATACTTAGTAAAAGTGGCTCAGAAGTCTGTTCAGGCTTTCTAATAGCTGTTAACATTTTCAGAAAAAGCTGTGTTTTCACTCCACTGGCTTAGGGGTCTGTAGTTTTAAAAAGTAGTGCAGAAGATTATTCTTTTTTTTTGTTTGTTTAATTATGACTGATATCCAGGTCCCAATAGTCATCACAAGTACTCTTTTGATGAGGTTGCATTAACAGCTAACATAGCAAACAAATTTGGAATTGATCTTAAAAGTTGTTTGTGTTTTTTTTTGTGTGTAGCACACAGGAGATTGTGGATTCTTCCCATTGTTTGTCAGAGAAATCAGGGTGCCCTTCTGGTAGTGTGTTAAAGCATTCATGGGTATAGTCAGGCAAGCTGTGAAGGGCTTGCTAGTGATGTGAGTGTTAAAAGCTGTTTCCAGCTCTGTTGAGCAATAAAGTGTCAGTCTGCAGGATGAACACCTGTCAGAATTATTCTGTACCAACAAATGTGCCATAAGAGTGATAATCGAATCTTAAAGAAACACATAACATCATTTGTTCTCTTAAATTGTAGTTTAATCCTTCCATAGTAAGTTAGTGCAGCGTGCAACCTTGTCCAGGCAGCTTGGCTGACATAGGTTGATTGGATGTGCTCAGTGAGCTGTCGTAGGACAAGAGTAAATGGAAGTCCTTCTCTGAAGGAGATGGTACTGCTCTTATCCCAGCCTTTTGCCAGTTGTTCTGGCTTGATAGCTGTTCTTTGGAACAGCTTTTTAATTTCTTTGAAATAAATAACATAATAGTCAACCATGAAGAAACACAAAAAAATAAAGGGAAGCTTTAGGTGAAAGGAGTAGGCAGAAAAGCCTAGAGCTGAAGATGGGGAGATTCGGTGTTTGAAGGTGGCGGTGGCATTTTCTGAGAGTTCAACATCAAGCAATGACAGGAGTTTTTAGGGATTGGAGAGATGAAGACCAGAAGATGGCTTAGTTAAGAGCAGAAACTCACACAAACAGTCCAGAAGCTAGTACAAAGAGAAGGAAAATTCCCTGACGCAGTAGAGCAGTGCCTTCCACTGAGGAGGTGTGCTTTCTCTACCTGTTACTAAGGTGTGTTGAATCTTAATACCAGTTGTTCCAACAAGATTTAGTCATGGCTCATCATGTTCGCTATCAGTGATGGGCAGAAACCAGCTACAGTCAACAGGCTCTCAAAGAGAAAAATGCCTTGATTTTACCACCATTGTTTTATTTTTCTAGTACCAGGATTGTTTTCTGCAGTGTAAAGGATGCTTCTAGTGAAAGTTCTAGACTCTAGTGCCTGACGCCTTTCATTATAAGTAGAGATTAAGCGACTGAGGCAGAGGAAATTACAGATGTGCAAACACAGAGAAGTGGCCAACTATTGGTGCTTAACTCTAATGAAGTCACTGTTAAACTTCCACATGAGGTGACTGAAAGATCACTTTTTTGTGGAAGAACCAAAGGAAAGCATGGCACCCAGAGACAGGCTCTTGATCCATAAGGAAGACAGCCTGGATAAGTATTACATGATGTTTGCTAGTTTGGCGTTGTCAGAACATACATCTGGAAGTTGTTGTGGAAAGCCTTGGATGTGGAAGGTAGAACACTTTCTTTGGGAACCTAAAAATTTCAGTTATTCTTTTAGGCAGTATTACTGTTCTTGTGGTGCCGCAGTCTTGTCTCAAAGAGTGTCATTTTTGACAGTCTTTTCACAAGAGTTAAGTTTATACAGATTTAAAAGAGTATTTCGAGCAATACAAGATGAAGTAAACTGATGAGAAGATACTCGTAGGAGCATGCTGACTCCCGCCGGTTTCAACTATAGTGGTAGATGTCACTCAAGCCTACTAAAACTTGCAAAT